CTAGTAGCTTCTTGTTCCTAGTAGCGATGCCAGGAGCCCCTAGTAGCGTCCTTACTCCTAGTAGCGATGCCCTTGTTCCTAGTAGCTTCTTGTTCCAATGCCGCAAAAAGGAGGAGGATGGCATTTGAGAGACTCCGAGAGGCGCCACCTCCGACCATCGACGGTCAACCGTTTGGAGGATCCCTTCAGCCACTTTGACTTCGATGGGGTCCTTGGTCTCGGATTGCAGACCTTGGCTCTGAGCAGACCTGGCAAAGTCATTGATGTTTGACACTGTTTTGACATGGATGCTTCACTTGCAGTGCTTGGCCCACGTCAGTTCCAGCTCTACTCCTCATTCGATGGAGGTTGACTTCATTTGATTCCCTAATATTTTGACTCTCTGAGAGACTCAGACACAGTAAGACTATGAAGACTACGAACACAGTGTCTTTGTTCATCGAAGCGTTTCGGACTTGCCAGGTCCAGAGTTTAGCTTTTTCGGGCAGATGCTTTCTCAGAATCCTCGAATGGAGCCACGCTTTTCAGCCCACATCCAAGAGCCGTTTGGAGACTAGAAGTGATATGACATGATGCTTCTTGGGAGAGAGAGAGAGAGAGAGAGTCAGAGTTTTTGCCAGTGCCAAGCGTCCAGTAGGCGTGAGGGTTTGATGTTCGGCCTTGTGAAAGAGGCTTTTGAAGTTTGTGCACACTACAGCTCAAGGTGTTCCTGGCCCAGAATGAAGGGGTGGACAGCGTGATCTCTTTTGGTGGGTGCGAGGGCACAGACATGCTTTGGTACGTTGCCTTTGGTTCTTTTCGTGCCGCCCGTGTTGCCGAAGTATCTAGAAAGACTTTGACCGCTGATGGTACAGACCGCTGTTTGTTGCTTGCCTAATCATACGCTTATTCTCGGTGACAGCTGGTGAACTGCTGGTGACAGCCAGTTTTATATAACGTCAGTTCACATCATTTGAATACATTTGAAGCCTTCCGTTGAAACACAACCGTTGGAAGTCTTACAGAAGGAAGCATTGCACGAGACCCTGCATTCATTGCTTCATGGGTCTCGAGCGGACCTTGGAGTGGTCTCGAGTGAGGCACGAAGAGAAGTTCGCAAGCGGCCATATTCAGTGGGCCAAAGACCCCAGAGCACGCTCGTGACAGCTGTGGCTCTCTTGTTGTGAACACATGACGAGTAGATTTTTGCCATCAGGGTTTGATGTTGCTTGTTGCTTTTGAAGAAACCTTGCAGCGACACGAGCATTTTTTACAGCACCAGTGCTCAGCACCAGAGCCTACTTGATGACATTCGATGTAGATTGCTGGTGGAACACTATACAAGGCGTAAGATGCCGAATGCCTCCAGGTCCCTGTGGCCATGTCGAAGCTTGGCTACTGGCAGGTGTGGGGCGCAAACAGAAAGGGACCTACCTTCAGGACTTGAGGAGAAACAAACAAGACATGTGAAGAGAATTCGCAACAGCAATTTAGTTCTCCTTTCAGCTCGTCAGACAACCGATGCCGACCTCAGCCAAGACATGAATCAAAAGGGTCCTATAACTCCAAGCGACACGTTAGGTCGAGTTGAAAGACGTCAAGATCGGGGACCAGGCAGTGGACCAACGATTCGACGTGTTCTCGAAGCGGTGACAACGACTTCGATCCTGCGATTGAACAGATTACTGATTGAATAACCTATCAGTACCTTTCATATTGATGATTCAAGAGATTTTCCACCTTGAAACCCTTTCAGAACCGTGTCAGATTGCAGAACTGGCTTGGATGCATCTGAAAACAGGTGGAAGCACTTTGTATCACTTTGTTTTGTACTGTTTGGTACTGTTTGGTGGGAACTTCTAGGTGGATTGCCGCCAGGTGCTGGAGGAGTGCCGAGATGGAAGCTGTCGGGCCATTTTGGACACCGGCACCTCATTGCCCGAAAGCTCGGCCGGTCGGGCGGACCGCCGGAGACAAGCAAGGTGGGCCTCCAACGCAGCTTCCGAACGCAGCTTGACAAAAAGGAACTTGTCACAGAGTCACAGCTTCCCCAGATAGCTGAAAGCTTTAGGTGTTTTTCCTTTCATAGAAGTCTTGTCCCATTGGGCTGTATTGCGTGTTTGCCCTCCTTAGTTCGCAATCCGGGTCCTGGTTGGTTGTAAGAGACACAAAGAGACCAAGTGACTGGAGAAGTATGCCTCAGGGGTTTTGCATGCACAATGGCATAATTCAGGGGCCCATGCGATGTAGTTCATCGTTCGCAACATCTAGCACCTCATAGTGCTTAAAGTATGATGGGCAGTACCGCAGCAGAGTTTGCATGTCAGTATTTCTTCGCATGCCAGCGAGTGATAGAAGGGACCTCCCTTGATTAAACGCTGAGGCTGGGAGTTCCAAGACAGGTGGGCCTGGGCCCCTCACTTGTTCACGATTTGGTAGACGGATGCAGAAAAAGTGAGGCATTCATTCAGGGTCAGTGCGCACCACAGTGTGATTTGTTGGGCTTTTGCTTTTCTATGGCCAGCATGCATTGCATAGCCGTGCTCGCGCCTTCGTCACGGCCAACCGACTCCCTGCAGGTCGTGCGGTCCATGCATCGGATGCTGGCAAGACCTGTGGCAGAGGACCGCTTTCTGAAGTCAAAAGACAGCGCCTTCTTTCCGTCCTTTTCAGAGTACCAATTTGTTCTTTTGCACGAAACAGACATGGCAGCACTTGAAGCTGCTCACAGGAGATTGCTCATCAGCCTGGGATTGACTGCAGGAGGCTGGATTCATTTGTTCAGCTTGCAGTCGAGCTGCGGTATGAACTTGGAAAATGGCCACTGTGAAGCTTCTTGCTCCTAGTAGTAAGGCCAGGAGCTCCTAGTAGCGTCCTTGCTCCTAGTAGCGATGCCAGGAGCCCCTAGTAGCTTCATTGCTCCTAGGTTGCCAGGATTGCAACTGGACTTTGAGATGGAGGGTGGGGTATGGCTCTCATACAAAGTAACTCCTGTCCGTGTGACTGGTGCACGAGTTGGCCGCCGTGCGTCAAACATGTCTTGATTTGGTTGAACTAGCACACCTAATGGTTACCTTGATTGAATCAGCATCGCGATTTATTGAGGTCATGAGCTTGTCGCCAGAAGACTACTCCAGGCATTTGGTGGGCGGCTGCTGATGTTGTCACAGTTTTGATGATTCCAGCTTGTTTGGCGTTGTGAACACGCTCACTGTTCTTTGATTCTTCATCAAATCGGCCAGAAATCATCAAGCATGCAGCTTGCATGTTTCAGCATTTGGAATCTCTTCTGCGCCACCCTTCGCTGTTTTCGGAGGCCCTTGCCTTTCAATATGACGATGCCGAACCAGGACAAATGGAGGCCCTGTGGGGCGTTCCATTCACTTGAAGCGGCTTTGAGCCTCTGAGATCGTTGGACGTGGCAAAGAAAAAAGCAGCAGTCAAATCCCAGCAACCGGGGGATGGGATAAGAATGGTTTACAGTATTTGGATATGTTTGGATTGATTTCGAGCAATTTTTCCAAGTTGCAAGTGTAAGATGATGTAAGGATATGTAAGGTGTGTTCCTGTCCGAAGTGTTTGTGAGGTTATTTTGCCGCTCATTGCTTCTGCCTGTGGAGATGGCTGAGCCGTTGGGCCCGAAGGCCAGGAGGCATTTCTTAAGCAAGGGAAAGCTACTGTAGCTTTCGATGTCAATGCACTTGACAGGCTGCCAAGCACAGCATTATTTCCGCCCGAATTCGCTTGCAGTAGGCTTATCAAATCCAAAGATTTTTTTGGCTGTTTGGCATGGATGTTGATGGGCCGAGCCAGGTCTTCATTTGGGGTGAGCCTGTTCTACGCAGGTGTGGATGCCGACCACAGCCATTCAGCTTTCAGGGCAACGGAGGTTCAACCAAGGGGGGGGCAGGACAGATCCTAAATTTGCAAGACTGGTCCAAATGAATTGACTGCTGCATCAGACTTGTTCTTAGAACTATTCATTTGCCCAAGAGAGACGATTTTGATGGTGCACACAAGGGAGATACGTTGCTGAAAGAGAAATTCTAGTTTGTTCGCTTGTTGCGAGAGATGAACACGCTTAGATAGAGAGCTCAAGTGAATGAGCAGGATTTCATAGGATTTCAGTTGCTGGCTCACCGCTGCAGTAGCCCTTTACGTTACTGAGAGTTAGACCTTGACTTGCAAAGCAGCATGGGGAGAAGCCAGCAAACCAGAATTGTTGGAACATCGGCGCACTAGCTCTTTAGAGAAGAGTGGGGTGAGCAGCTTGATCAAAAGTTCAAAACAAGCAGGTACGTCGATCCAGTGTCCCGGATCGATATCACCAGCTTGCACCCGCTGCTATGCGAAAGCAAAGGGTAGAACTCTTGGATACAGAGGGCGACACACACACACACACACCCTCTCTCTCTCGCTCTCGCCTTACAAGTCACGTTGAGTTTTGCAGGTATTACACCATCTATGACTTGGCCAACAAGAGGATTGGTCTTACACTCGCCAAGCAGCCTACTGGACAGGCCAGATCCACAATTGGTGTGGATTATTGTTTTAATGCCTGCTGACAGAAATGTGCGAATATAGCCCAGCAGCAATGCCTTGTGATAGAACGCTTCTACGCTTACACAGACGAAAGAGATCTGGAGGCAGCTTCTCCTGCCAGCGTGGGTACTCCTCCTGCAGGCTCCCTGTTGTCAGGCACATACTGAAGAGATAGGGAGCGGGTTGGGTGATGTTGGGTGACATCAGGTGACTGAAAACCAGACTTGGACGACATGGAAGAATAGCAGCAGCATGTAACAGCCCACATGTAAGA